CTACAGCAAGGGTCACCAATCTCCATCCTGGAGGGCCGGTGTCCCTGCAGGGTTTAGCTCCAACCTGCCTCAACACACCTGCCTGGATGTTTCAAGTATACCGAGTAAGACCTTGATAAGCTTATTCAGGTGTGTTTGATATGGGGTTGGAGCTAAAATCTGCAGGGCACTGGTCCTCCAAAAAAAGGCTTGGTGACCCCAGTCCTACAGGATGTAATTTCTCTTGATTGCATCCTACAGGATGTAATACAGGAGATGTTAGAATGTTAGCTGAGCTATGAGCTAAAGTATTCAAAACTTATCATGGCAGTATGAAGCAGAGTAAGGCTGAAAGTTATCAAAGCAAAACAAGACCACTGAAGAAAATTCTGAAAGCAGCGCAACACGGCGTTCGGTTCTACCAATCATGATCATGTGAGGAAGAAGCAGACTTGTTTTATTATTCTAAATATGTTTTATATTTCTTGTATAATACTGCTCTGTGCAGTTTAATAAAATACACAGGGGGGGAAAAATGGAGAGTGTGTGACCTCATTACATTGCGACTGTTATTATCACCAGCTATAGTCACACTCTCACGCATTTAGACTACACTGCCCATAATGCTTTGTATTAACACAGCTGATACACTACAATCTATTGTGTGGCACACCCACTCACTCAAACCCACACACCAGTGTTTGCGAGTCTTGTTTCATGTAATAGACATTTCTGAGTGTTTCACCGTGTTCTCCTGGTTTCTGTCTTTTGCAACTTTGGACTGTGTTTGGATTATCGATTGTTAGCTGCCCTGACCTCTCCCCTTTATTTTGAATTTTTGTTTGTGGATTAACCCTGTCATTGCTTCTGATTTCAATAGTATCTGGATGCAGATATCGTCTACACGTAGCCTCAGACATGCGATGTCAGACACTCCATGGAGATAGTAACTAGTAACGTCACTGTGAAGGGTAGAGTTAGGGTTGGAGTAAGGTGTGTACATTAAAAGCATTGAATGCAGCTCAGCTTGCAGCTCCACCCAGTTTTCTTTCAGACTCCTCGCCCTGATTTTGACCTTGACTGTTTCAACCATTCATCAATAAACGCTCATCTGGATCCTCTTCAGTTACAGGAAAGGAAACTAGTTAAAACTGCTTGTTTCTCGAAATTCTTTAAAACATTTTGGATAATGCAAGCACATACTGTAAGTCAGCAAAATATACTCTAGTGCAAAAACACTGCTCTAGTGGCTTTTTGGATATTTTATATTTTGGACATTTTAATGAAAAAAAAGTACATATTGTGCCTTTAAAGTAAATGCTCTGTCACAGCACTTATAATTCACAAATTAATCAAACTGGCATATGCATTACATCCCTTCCTGTATACCAACATTTTTTTCCCTTTTACTTTTGACAGGGTAGTGGAATGTACTGTATATTGCAAATGTACATTAAATCTCTGCCATGCTTTCATAGTTATTGGAACTTGCTCGTCCTTGAATCTTTTCCACAGTCCCTCTCTAAAATTCTCTCCTTATAAAAAATGCGCTTTCTCTGTTTGACCTTCAGAAACTCTCCAGAGTCAGTTTGGCAGTGTATGACAATGTTTGTAGACCTTTTTATGAAACCCAGTAGGCCCAAAGCTCAGACTAAATCCAAATCGCATCATATCCACCTCCACAATAGTCTGCCAAGCTGGTTTTGGAGATCCACGGAGACTCCGCTCGTCTTTATCTGTGGAAAACGACTAATCAATTCCAATGGCGGTGAGTCTCGCTGCTGCAGATGAAGTTTCTTCAGTTTTTGGCAGAGCTAATGCTTGTATGATGAGTGTGAATCCGGGTATATATTTTTCATTTAAAATCCTTCTCGTAAAAGACTTAATTTCTTTGATGTGAGCACAGTAAAACCTTAAATCCCTAATTGAGCATTAGGGATCGGATGAGTCAGTCAGAACTCATACTATGAATAATGTATGACTGACAAGCACCATCAAGTTAATGTTTTGATAAATGTGAGACTCTATCTCTGTCTCTTTATATATAAAACTGAGAAAAAAGGACAGTGTGTTCAGGCACCCCTTACACTGAAAATGTCATTTCAGAGTATGTTGGCTACATTTTCATTCCCAGAAATTTCAAGCTGTTCTGAAATATTTACTGAGAACTGTGTAAATCTGTGAAGAGAGTGTACTTTTCTGTTATTGTTTTTTAACAGAATGCTAATAATTTACTAGCAAGTGCTTTTAGGCCAGGTATGTGGTTGTGTGATGGAGACTAAACAGCTTAGATTAAATCCAGAATTTACCTGTTATTTGTATTTTAAATGTATATTTGAATTTAATTTATATTTCTAGTTACGCAATTAAATGATGATTTTTTACGATTTTCATTTCTTAATTTTACCTTTATTATTATTATTATTACTATTATTATTATTATTATTATTATTATTATTATTACACATCATAACCTTGGAATTATAAGGTTCTATCTGCGTTCTAAATGATTTTAAGAAATTGAGCTTCAAAGATTTTGCATTCCATATAGCAAACAATATGATTGTAACAATTATCTTTCATACATAAACATGACAGCGACCCAAAATGTTCTTAAATTTGCAAAATGGGGTAAAAAAAAGGCAAATGCAGATAGAACCTTCGAATTCTAAAAAGTAATTTTCCACTTGGAATTATAAGGTTCTATCTGGCAGATCATTAATTGAAGCATTACTTTTCAAGAAATATAATGCTTATTAATTTAATTTAAAAATTAAAATTGGTGTTGTAACATGTTGATGTTTGAGAAAGTTAATATTTTGCTTTCTATAGCATTCATATTTTAGGATGAATATATTTTTCTTTTTCAAATTAAGCATACAAGGCTATGGTAAATATTTTGCCAGCTCAGATGTTAATTTTATGCATAATATGGTAATCTTTTTTTGAATTATATAGTTTATATGAATTAATGAATTATACAGTATTTACTGAATAGTTTATACATGAATTAAATTAAGTATTTGCCCTTCAAGGCTTAACATTAGATTTAAAGACTTTAAAAGGAAACAGACAATGTGCAAATGAATTGTTTAACAGAGCTTAATAAACACTGAATAATGTTTCACTGACATGTACTGTATATACTGTATAAACGAATAAAAATATTTCACATTTAATAAATAATTTTTTTTTAATTAATTCATTTTTTTTTAACCCTTTAAAATATAACATTTCATCTTAATGTCAAAAAAAAATGCAAATGCTTCTAAATTTTGTGTTTTTTTCTGGTCTTTGCCGCTGTCAATGGAGCAGTCTGGCAAAATGACAAAGAAAATCTTGATTGGTCCTCATGTGTGGAAATGCTGATTGACTCACAGAAAGAATCTTATAGAGCCAAGCTAGAGTTAGACTTTGCAGATAAAACCTTTTTTGTAGAGATAGTACATGGAACGACAAGTCTTCATTTGTTGCTGTTTATTGTAGTGTTAATTTAAACGCAGAACTGATATTGAATAAACAAAATTAAACAATTTTGGCCACCAAACAGACTGAAGGTAACGTCTAAAGACCATGTACTCCCAGCAGGCCCTTCTCCAGTTGGCCACACCCAGCCTGTTAAACTTCCTCTGGCCTGAGGGGGCTGCAAATCACCAAAATGAAAGAAGTCATGATTCACAACATAAACGCCCTTTCCATTGCTCACTACATTCGGACACGACTGTCGGAATACATCCCTTTGTGGCAGTCGCACAGAAGTTTCAGTTTTGTTGTGCACCATGGGAGAGAAGCTGGATTCTTGCGGTGTCCGAAATAAAGGACTGCAAAAGCAAGAGCCATTATTCTCTATCCGCTCACCATGGTTAAATGAATGAATGAATGAATGAATGAATGAATGAATGAATGAATGAATAAATGAATGAATGAATGAATGAATGAATGAATGAATGAATGAATGAATACTAGAAACTCATAGACCACTAAAAATGTTGGAGGTAATGTGGAGACAACCTTAAAGCTGTTTCATTTTTTATTACTCGTTTGTGAATAGAATTGTTTTTTGTTCCAAAAAAACAAATAACTACTAATTTTCATATTGCGTGCAATGACCTGCATAGACATCACTGCAATACATCCAGTCCAGTCGACAGGTTGCATGCGGTCAAGTTGCAGGAGTTCAAATATTTAAATGGGTCCATAGCACATTTTCAGATCACTCCTCCACCTCAGCTCCACCAGTGTACAGAACTGCTACTGTGGTTGCATACATGTTATTTTTTTCAGGAGCATTGTGCTGTTTTCTCAGACAGCATGTATGTGAATATACTGGCAGTAGCAAGACTTGATACTTGCTGTGAGCCAATAATCAAATCAGCAGCAGCAGCAGCAGCATAGCAGACCTATGCCATCAAGATCAAACGCATCAACATTTCTTTATCCATATTTATTACCATACTAAATATCACCAAGAGTTGTCACGATGACTTCATTATCTGCAAAAATTCACTCAAGCACCCCCAAAACAAACAAATGCATATTTACTTTCCCCACATTACCCTTGATTGGATATGACGTGGCACTAATTCCCATCTGACTTTTTTTTCCCCCGAATTATGCCACAGCTCATAAGGGGAGGTTAAAGCCAAGTGACATTAAGCTTCAGCCCATATACAGCCGCATTGCCTCCTGCTGAAAATAAAATCAAATTATGAGCATTAGCTAAGCTGCTGTAGGAGCTTATGCATCTGCTTCAGGTAAACACTTGTGTCAGCTCCAGGAACGGATCTGCCACCCTCAGAATCATGAACGTCAAGCTGTGTTCGCGCTAGACTATTTATGATACCCTGCCGACTCTAAAACCGTTGCCCCCGTTTACTTCAATGTCCGTAGGCATTACCGTCCGACTTGTTGTTGTTGTGTGTGTGTCTTAATCCTCTTCGAATGTTTTTGTTGCTTATGGCTAGTTGATTTAGTCTATTTATAAGTTGATATAATGATTTCTGTGTCATTTGTCTCTCCAGGAAGAACCGTTTGTGATGGTGTCTGAAAATGTGCTTGGAAAACCTAAGAAGTACCAGGGTTTCTCAATCGATGTGCTGGACGCTCTGGCCAACTATCTTGGCTTCAAATATGAGATCTACGTGGCCCCTGATCACAAATATGGCAGCCAGCAAGCAGATGGGACCTGGAATGGTCTTATTGGAGAGCTGGTTTTTAAGGTAAGACATCGTTTGTTTTATTAATTTATTTGAGGAGGAGGTTTTGATTTTAAAATAAACGTGGGCAAGACCACGAGAATTTGGATTGTAATGACAAGAATAAATAGTTACATAATTGTTCTATCTATCAACATTTCTGTCTACTCTGTCTATTCTTTTGTCTCTGTCTTTATGGCAGTCTGTCTGTGACATACTAAAGACTAACTCTACCTATATCTTTATCTGTTTGTCATACTATATGACTCTTTATCTGTAGCCAGGTTTATTGCCTGAATTCTTTACAGATGATGCTGATGGAAATGCTTATATTGTATTAAATGAACCTAATTTCAACAACAACAAAAAAAAAATTGTATAACTTTAGCGCATTAATTCTTTATCACTATTTTTATTGCGGTAATAACAGAATCACGGTAGACCCACAGTGAGCTTTGTCACACAAGGTTTGTTTCTTCAAGCTCAATCAGACAAGCAACTGCAGCCTAAATGTGGTCATGTTTCGGTATTTTGAAAGATTTGTGTATTTGAAATCACAATAAGATGGCAAGTTTCAGTCTTTTTTAGTGAAGAGGGTGGGGGAGGGAGAGACGGGAGTAACTTACAATCATATACAGTGATATACAATTTTATAAACAATGCACTGTTACAATATGCTGCAATTCACTAAGTGAAGTTTTTTATAACCTAATTTAGAGAAGAGCATGCACTTATGATTGATAGCAGCTGGTCCTTCGTTAGCTAACACACGATTCACCAATCAGACGATTCCAAAATCACTGTAAATTACCAGAGTATTTTACCTTAGCCATCTTCATCTTGAAGAATTCTCCTTTCCACCCCTACTCCTTCCCTTTCTTTGTGAGGGCAGCACGGAGGCCCATTGGTTAGCATCATTGCCTCACAACAAGAATGTCACTGCCTCAGATCTTACTTGGCCAAGTCAGCATTTCTTTGTGAAGTTTGCATGTTCTTGCCGTGTTTGCATGGGTTTTCCCCGGGCGCTCCGGTTTCTTCCCACAGACCAAAAACATGTAACTTTTAAGAAAAGTAAATTGACAAAACTAAATTGCCATCATAGACAAACATTAAATTCAGCATACACTCTCCATCGCTATTCATAATCTACATTTATCATAATCAAGCAGGGGAGTTCTCGAAACTTACCTGAGCTCAAATTCCTCTTTCTCCCTGCAATGGGAGGGAGCCCCGGGCTCGAGGATCTCACAAGCTCAGGGCTCTCTCCCGGGTCAGCATGCCAAACACGCTTTATAATCAATCATCAGCTAAGGACGAACTCTTGAAACGTATAATAATTCTGTTTCGTCAGTTTTGACGTAATCACACAGTTAATCAGTAAAAGATTAGTTGAATCAAAAATATTTTTTCTCTTTTACTTTTTTTTTTACATTGAAAAATGAATTATGGACTGTGTTGATAACAAAACCGCAGGATGTTTGGAAACTTGAATGAGAAAAAAAAAATGGATGGAAACTTAGCTTATATATTTCTTTGTCAACTTCTTTGATATACGAGAATCTGTTTGTAAATCTATCTATATGTTTGTCCACTGAATAGCTATGGAAAATATTGGGGACAATTATTTTGACCATGCTCCATTTCTATTGATGTACTTGGTTCATTAGATATGTGAAATGAAAATTATTGTTTTATTCTATAGTCTGAAAACATAACATTCCTTCCAAATTGGTCAAAATAACTAATGTATCAAATAACTAATAAATATAATTTTTTTGAAAACCAGGGTTGTTCCACCAAATACTAAACTCTTTTGAAGTTTAAGCACTGATATTGTGATGTAAACATGTCTGAAAACATGACACTGTTTGTTCTTGTTTTGATCAGTTGTTATTTTATGCTCTAACGACATTTTTAAATTCTGAAAATGTCAGTTGTTTGCAAAAAAAAAAGAAAATAAACCACAGATATGTTTTACTCAAACACATAGCTAAAAAAATGTGTTTAATTTAGTTTATTTATTGTAATTAAATTTTTAAGTTAATATATAACTACAAGCTCAGAAATCCTAAGTGGTATCTTTATATTTTCCATACCTGTAAATCTACAGAGAATGGTAATTACATATAACATGGCAATTGGATCTTGAACATACAATGGAAACAAACACAAATCGACACACACACACAACAAAAGCCAATCATGTTGTATAAATGTTTTAGAAACTGCTTTAATTCTCTTAGAATAAAACAGTCTAATATTTAAATCCCAAGACACACAGAAAAACACACTCAGTTACTTGTCTGAGACACTGCAAATACTCATTACATAGTATTAAGTCTTGTACACTAAAAGTGATTGCTCTCCAACAGTGGCTCATTTATATCATCATTATACATAGATATATCTCCTCCTACCTAAAACTGCTCAATGTTAACACATTAAGCCACTATAGACATAACAGTAAAACTGCTTCCTAACAATTTGTATTCAGGACAATGCTATAAAGTAAATAACTTGAAATCAATTGAACTCGAAAGAACCAAGTGCAAGATTGCTTACTGTTAGCGATGGTGAAAAGGGAAGAAGAGTGTGAAAAAATCAAGGAAAGGAATGGACTCAGCTGTACAAACACAAGTGCTCTGGTAACTGCGTAAACAGCATTCAGCATTCCTGATGTATATACTGAGCTTATTTGGGGTGTTAGCGCTTGCAATTCAATGCAAATCAGTGTGTGTCTGTAATATATAATAAACACGTCAATGTGCGGATCAGCTATCTTTATAGTTTTAAGCTGTTTAGTTTACCGGGTTGTACTTTAACTTAAGCCTTATTGTGTTGCTTTCATGTTAGAATAAGCATTTTCTACACTGCGTACGAATTGTCGAATCATACAGAAAGTGTTCACTATTACAATGTGTTCTTATTAATTAATATAAATATGAAAACTCATTTAACCAGTCTGTAACTGAGCATTACAATGCATTGCTTTCCTATTCTCTACAGTATAAATGTCTGTCTCTCTATTTATAATCAGCTATATTTGTCTATCTCTCTGCGGCTCTTTTTTCTGTCCTTATATTTGTGCTTGTGTATTTGTGTATGTCTCTCTATCTGACTCTATATCAATATTTCAATATAGCCCACATGACTCTATCTATACTTTCAACGTTTCTTGGTTCATGTTGTATGGTTTGTCTGTTGTATTTCTCTGTATGTCTTTTATGATTTATCTTTTCACCGTGTCTCTCTGTTTATATCTACAGTACTGTATGTGTGTTTCTGTCTACATTGTCTTTCCATGCAGTATCTATCTGTGTTTTAATTTATGTCTGCTTGCTTTGTGTCTCTATCTACACAGTGTCTGTCTGTATATGTATATGTCTGTCTGCTTTAGCTTTCTTTCCACACTTTTAATAGCCAGCAGCTGGCTCTCTGCAACTCTCACATGGTCGCCCACTGTAGCTAAACAGTCAGTACCTGGATGGGAGACTGTACAGGAAATCTAAGTTGCTGCCAGAAGTGGTGTTAGTGAGACCAGCAAAGGGCCGCTCAGCCTTTGGTCTGTGCTGGTCCTAATGCCCCAGTATATTGATGGGGACTCTATACTGCTCAGTGAGCACCGTCTTGACATTATGGATGACTCTCTCTGGTTGTTACAAATCACATGATGTCCTTTAAAAAAAAGAGTAGGAGTTTAAACCCAGCATCCTGGGTAAATTTGCCCACATGGCCTGCTAACCATCCCCATATCATAATTGGCTTCATCACTCTGTTTCCTCTCCACCAATCAGTTGGTGTGTGGTGTGTGGTCTGGAGTAATATAGCTGCCATTGTGTCACTGGTGGTGGATTAGGAGATTCCCCCCAAAATGTGTAAAGCGCTTTGAGTGTTCAGAAAAGCACCATATAAATCTCTGTCCCTGTGTTTGTCTGTTTATGCAGTATCAGTCCGTCTCTATCAATCTCTAGCTACTGCCTGTCTGTCTCTGTCTAATTATATCTATCTTGTTCTGTATTTGTCTGCCTCTCACTTAAAACAACTTTAAAATTAGCAGTAAATGAAAAAAACCTGGATGATGTGGTTGCCAGAATTTTACTGTTAAAATGGAATAGAAGCAGTTCTGAATTCACGGTAAACTACTGTATTCATTCATTTCTACGCTGTTTGTGGGAATTCAAAATTGACCCAAAAACAAAGCATTACAATTGGCTAAGAAAATTTGGAAAAGTGGTTCGACCGGAGTCACAGAAATTTAAAAAATAAAATATTAATATACTTTTAACCATATAACTTTTTATTAGTAGTGACGTCTATATTGTACCTTTATAATACACTGACAAAAGCACCACTAAACCAATGTGGTCATGAGACAATTAGCCAGTCCTCATCTGAATCTGCTTGTCTACAAGCAGAGAAACATATTAATATGTAAAACCTGTGCAGTGTCATTCACACAATTTCTAAACACCACTGTGGTAACACAAATGCCACTAAAGTATTGCAATACACATTATTTATCATAAGATGTAGCAAAAGTCAAATGTATGCATACACTATGTTTGTCTATTCTTAACTATGTCTTCTATGTCTTCATCTGTCTTTATTTTTTAGTTATTCTTCAAGCATGTATGAATCCCAAATGCCCCACAGCTTTTTAATGGATATACGTTTCTAAGTGAACACCCTTGATAGACTCAATTTTATTTATTTATTTATTTTTTTATTAATTATTTTATCTTATTTTTTTTGGTGCTTGTTCAAATTACCTTTTTAAAATAAGCGGAAACAACACAATTCTTGAGATTTCTTAGGTTGGGACAATTATTTTTATGTTAAATCCACTTAAATTTGTTACGTTAACTTAATCGTGTGTTGTAACATGTGTTGAGACAACATGCATGAATTGTGTGCATTTTATTGAGTGTATCAACTAACTTGTGTAACCCTAACATCCATAATGAATTAACAAATGTAAAAATTCCAACATCCAAACCTTCAGAATCGTATTTGACAAAATGACT